GGGGTTCAACTTTGGTTTAAGTGTAACAGTGTGAAAAATAAGCATTAAAACTGTTACAAGCTACTTTACAACAGTTTAGAGATTTAAGCTTTAAAGTTATAGAGGTTAAAATCACCTCTTATATAAATTGACATGTGACATGAGATACCAAGTTTCTGTCCTTGTAAGAATTCTTTTTTTTTAGCTACAGGGTTTTAACGTCATTTTAACACAATATTACCCAGCATTCCTCGGGGTCGTTTCCTCCAGCTCGACTCCTCTTAGCTTGCGGACCAGTTTCTCACTGCTCCTGCGTATCGACTCTCTGAGCTTGGTGAAGGAGCCGCTGCGCTTCAGGTTACTGAGTTCGTCCGGTCTGGAGCCACCGTCCTCTGCTCCGGACCAGCTGGGACGACCTTCACCTGGAGGACGGACAGACCGGCGTGTCAACGGACAGTATGTTTTAACAGCTCTCATTCAGTTTGTGTGGTGGCTGACATGTTTTGTACCTTCCACTGATCCAAACTCTTTTTCATGTGCTCGTGTCAGGATCTCTTTGTAAAGAGCCTCAGCTTGTCTGTATTTCCCCTGTTTGAGATAACATGAGGCCTGACAAAGAAAGTGAAACGACAATGAGTGGAAAGAAATGCTTTGAGTAAATGTAGAAATGGCAGCATCTGTATCCAAGATATTTTAGGTTCATTTTTGTTAAATGGGAGGAAGTAGAGACGTGTCGTCCATCTTAATTTAAAGTCTCTGAAAATGATGTAATATTGGATATTAGCAAATATTGGTACATGGGAGGTAAAAATGAAATACTGGCTTCATATTATATAAGTTATGTTATACAGTTATTGTTTTACAGTTGTTATATAGTGACAAAATAAAGTGTGGTCCTGTATCTCTCTGAAACTGAAACTACAAACTGGGAGGAAAACATGGAAATAAAGGTGTCGTGGAGAAATGAAAAGAACGCCTCTCCATCTCCAAAGAAAACTAATTAAGACATCAAAGTGTTCTCTTGTCTCACCAGGTTGTTCTTGGTCTTTGCCACGTTGGCGTCGTCTGGTCCCAGTTTGCTTTGGTAAATGTGCAGAGCACGTTCATAGTACTGCTCCACCTCCTGGTACTTCCCCTGGTTCTGACACAGCAGAGCCAGATTGTTCAGCTGCTTGGCCACATCTGGGTGGTCTATACCTAGAACCTGAGGGGGCAGAATACACACAGGATGAAAAATACACACAATCTACTATAAAAACAACAGCATCTGATGCGATGTGTTGACTGATGAGAACTAATCAGGAAGCAAATGAATGAATCATAGTTTCCAAACATTTCCATTTCTGCCTGTCCAGACTACAACACAGACCAGGAGTTTGTAAAGTTTCTTCACCTTCTCTCTGATCTCCAGAGCTCGTTTACATAGCGGCTCCGCTTCCTTGTATTTCCCTCTTTTCCCATAAAGCACTGCCAGGTTGTTGAGTGTTGCAGCCACCTGCACACATACATTATATAACAAAACAGACACAGTGAATCTGAGATGAAATACTTAACATAGCCACGAAGGGAACAATGCAATTATTTTAGGTCAAGTACAGAAAAAGGACAAAGACTGAGGATCAAATATCTATTATATAAAGCGAAGGTAACTTACAGCTGGATGGTCTATCCCCAGAGTTTTCTCCCTGATCGCAAGTGCGTCGTTCAACAGACTGGCTGCTTCTTTGTATTTGTTCTGGTCTCTGTACAGTAAAAAAACATGTCACACTGTTAGGCACCTCAGATCAAACTTATTCAAATCAAATGCTTCTGGTAAAAGAAGTTCTTGCTCCAAGAAATGGCAGAATGGTAAACAACTAAAGTGTATTGTTATGGTATTATTCATACGTCTCAAACCTCCGTTAAACAAGCCGGAAAAATTTGGAAGATGCAGCAAATAAAAGAAAGACCCCTGTCTCAGAGACGTAAATCTTAGATTTTATCTTTTTTAGGGGGAGATTGTTGCTATGGTAACTCACCTATAAACCAGCGCCAGTATATTCAGCATGGTGGCGACATCTGGGTGTGTGTGGCCTGAAGACTTCTCCAAGTCTTCCAAAGCCTGTAGAGACATAATCAACAGATACAGTAAATCAGTTCAGTTGTAATTCGGGCCTAACAGCTGCAAGCAGACACGAGGCTCCAGTGAGATGCCAGTTGAGAAGCAGATTTCAGATAGTCAGAAAATAACTGATCCAACATGCTGTACACGGGAACCTGTTTGCAGAGCGGTACAGCGACTTCATATCGTCCCTGGGAGGCGTACTGGATGACCAGGTTGTGGAGCGTTCGAAGGCGGGCGGGGATCTCGTAGCCGCCCTGCTGGGCTGCAGCTGCTGCACTGCTGTGGTGAGGCTGGGACACTGAAGAGAAATAAACATAACAACCGAATAAATCTAAAAAATTCAATATTTGTCATGATTATATGGTCAAATGTTTTCTTTAGTGAACAATTACAGCAAAAATGAGAAGTGAGCAAACAATTACATTCACAACTACTGATTCATATTGAATCTATGTACTTGTACAACCAACATTCATCTCTTTTATAAGTATTCTTGTCATTGTTTTATTTCAGACACAGAGAGGCCCACTGTTTATCTGCTGCACTGTTAAATAACTGGTTAGTACAAGAAGAAACCACACAGACACTGTTCTAAATTACAACAGTGTCACACCAGCAGTGTTTCACTTTGTTGGGCTCCGATTTTCTAAGTTTTTCTACTGATAAACTTCTGAATAGCATCCTGACGAAATCAGGGTGGCCGGAATTTCTTTTGTGTTGCTCAAATCATTCAGTGACACAGACTAAACACCAACATTCACACAACACTGCCACTGAACTGTAGCAGTATCTTTAAACTCTACAATTAAAGGTCTGTTTTTTCTTTTTCTTGACAAACACATGTGTTGCTGTTATGGAGACTAATAAACACATATTCACACAACACAGCAGGAACTTACTCTGTGATTGTTCCTCATCATCAGTGGGAAATAGATCATCCAGAGACTCTTTGTTGGAGGATGTGTCCTTATCATCCTGGAGGAAGAAACAAACACTCTCAGAAACTCCACATAAAGGTTCTTATTATGTGTGTAATATTTCCCTGTGAGCATGATACACATAAGTTTAAAAGTTAACAATTCTGATTTAAAGGAGACATATTCTGGCAAAAAGAAATTGCTTCCAGCTCATGTAAGAAACGTCACCTTCTTCAAATCTCGCATTACCTGACTTTTTTTAGTCAGACTCTCTGCTAGGCAAGAATTATATAAATGTGGAGCATGTTGTTATTTGAACACTTAATTATGTCCGAGCAAACACAAAAACATGTCTTTGTGTTTACATGTGGTTTTTCCTCACCAGGTGGGGTTCCTCCAGGTCGTATTTGCGTATGGAGGACATGAACTGCAGATGTCTGTTCTGCTCCTCCAGGGTGACCACTTCCTGTTCTCTGTCCTGCAGCCGCTGCTGTGCACCGGCCAGCTCATCCCTCAGCCACTGGTTCTCCTGACAGAGACGACGCACCTAAGGACGGGGTGGATGACACGAAGAAAGAGGAGGAGGAGATGATGAAGGGTGAGGAGAAGTATAAGAATTATGGTAGAGAGAAAGGAATGGAGGAAGAAGAAGTAGAAGGTAAGGAAAGAATATGAATAAGGATGGAAGTGGGAGAAAATAAGCAGAGGAGAAAGAGTTGGAGTATGAAGACAGGAATGAAAGATTAAGGGATCGGACTAGACAAGTCATTCTCTATGATAAATTTAATTCAAACCAAAACACATTCAGAAAGCTCAGGAAACCTGAAGAACCGGAATAGAATCTTCTCTTTACTCTATCGCTTTATTTATTCTGCTCTTTTTTTTTTTACATTTCCTGGAGATATTCACCTGAGCTCGCAGCTTCTGTTTCTCTGCCTCCAGTGATCCTAGGTGAGCAGACAACGCCATCATCACCTGAAGGGACGAGAAACAAATAAAACAGAAAATTCTAACTACAACTCATGATAATGACTTAAAAATGGGTAAACTTAAAATATTATATATGGAACTTTCCTGAACACGAGGAAATATGAAAAGCTCTTAAAGGTCCAGTGTGTCAGATTTAGGTGAAAGGGAACTATTGGCAGAAATTTAATGTAGAATAATCCTCATGATGTTTTCACTAGTTCGTTTCATCTAAATTGTATGAATTGTTGATTTCTTTACCCCAGAAAAGGCCCTTTATATTTAAATACTTTATATTTACATCGAGGGGACCCTCTCTACGGAGGCCGCCATGTTTTTTACATTTCTACATCTTTTACAAAACAATAAAACCACAATAAACAGAAACAGCACATCACTGTGGCTCTGCCCTTATTCTCTTCTTCTGTCTGTACCTGTGCCTCGCTCAGCCCCAGCTCTATCCTTTCCAGTGACTGACGGATGATGCCGCTCTTCTCATGCTCCACGCTGCCGCTGTCTGAAACAGACCGGCTCTCCATCACCTCCTGCAAGTTCTCCAGCAGACTGCGATTCTCTACTCTGAGAGCCTCCAGCCCTGCGATCACCTGCTGCGTGTTGCACAAAATCTCCTCGGCCGACAACATGGCTCCACCACTGAGGTTCCTCCTTTCACAACTGACCTTGGAACAGCACACAGAGGAAAACATAAATAGCTGAATAAGTCATTGCAGTAGTTCTGGTGGTACAAGTGGAAGCTGAAAAAGCCTTGTGACATCCAAAGAAGACACAATATATTTACTGCAATAGTAGAATTAGACTTAATTGCAGCAGTAGTAAATACAGTGTAGTATTTGATAGCTAACCCAACCTCCTATTTTTAGGACACACACACACACAACCCTGTTCACTGTAGGTGGCGCAACAGGTCTCAGGCTGCAGTCAAACCAGCCTCCTTCTGAAACACCATCTAACCCCCCCACTCATTTCATCGTGCGTATTTTCTATAAACATTACGTTACGGGCATTACCGATCATTACGTTACGTACGCGTTAGCGTGATTTCAAAATAAAAGGCAACCTTCCTGTTAATGGAAAGGAAAAAACAAATTAAGAAAAAAATGATTATCGAAAATACAT